TACATACATACATACATACATACATACATACATACATACACACATGATACATATACGTACATACGTGCATACATACATACATACATACATACATACATACATACATACATGCATACATACATACATACATACAGTGAATGTGACATAGCTTGGAACACACACTGCGCAGTACACATTCACATAGTGTAGCATTAAAAAACAAACCAAGTAAACAAACAACACATGGATGTATACACGTAGAGGTTTATGTAAAAACATACAGTTTTGTAAAAAAAAAAAACATGTGTGTGTGTATAGATATATACATACATATGTATATATATATATATTACACGTGAGGCTTACATACAAGACACTCGCACATCTACTGTACATGGGTTCAGCCCCTGGCCCAGTCGGAAGATGGCCAGGCCCAGAGCTGAACGCCGAACCTGCAAACGCCGAGACCCTTCACAGCATCCGAGTTGCCACGAGCTCTTCACCGATGCGAATCAGTGTCCTTCCTGCCTGCACCAATCGATCCATTAGTCATGAAAATGGCAGAAGATCAAACAGACCAGGCATAATCCAGCGGTGCTGGTTCTTGCAAGCCCCAAGGCCCATGATTCCGGAGCAAGAGGCCAAATCAGCGCCAGCGATTGACATCGAACACTAGAAACTCGACAACATACGCAAGCAAACAAAATGCTGAACAGCCGAATCGTCAAACCGCTCTGAATCATCAAGTATGGGAATGTGGCCTTCCCTGCAAGGACGTGCTCCATCGGACGGTCCGCCGCCATCTGCATCTGGGACACACCGATGAGTCACCACCAGCAGGCACTTTAGCCCATCGTCCTGCTGTCATGCTCCCTGTGCCGAGGAAGTGTTGGCCCCAATGGCAACTGGCAGGGTGTTGAAACTGGCTTGTGCCTTTCATACATCTGCTGCCACGCACGTATCCGCCCCACACCCGGCCAGCGGTGTGTCAGGAAGGCCCTGGCGATGCTATCGCCGACGCAACTGCATCGTGGCACAAGCCTCCTGTGGGTAAGGCGAGAGCTATTCGGCGCTACATTCGCGACACCCGACGTGAGGCAACATGTCCCACACATACAAAGCTTCACTTGTGCCTCTTGCAAGCAGGCACCAGATCATGCTTCTTCAGGGCATGTGAGCAAGCCCAGGTGGCGGCAAGATGCTTGCTATTGCACGATGCACTTGTTCAAGGGCGTCCCGCTCTCCAAGCCTCTTGTCAGTATGAAAACTGAGCGAAATCTGGTCGAGATGACATTGACATTGTAACGCTCTCGCTAGGCACGAAGGTTTCTTTTTTTGAATAGTCTGCGAAAGGATGCATCTGTGGAGCAAACAGGACTGAAGATCAGCATGCTCCAGCAGTGCTGGTCAGCCAGACCTTCCAAGACCACAGCCACAACCCAAGACTCGCCGGAAACTCTCTGACAACAACCCGGTGCAAGAGGCCAATTCAGCGCCAGCGATTGAACATAGAATACTAGAAACTCGACAACATACGCAAGCAAACAACATGCTGAACAGCCGAATCGTCAAACCATGGGTATGTGGCCTTCCCTGCAAGGACGTGCTCCATCGGACGGTCCGCCGCCATCTGCATCTGGGACACCGATGAGTCACCACCAGCAGGCACTTTAGCCCATCGTCCTGCTGTCATGCTCCCTGTGCCGAGGAAGTGTTGGCCCCAATGGCAACTGGCAGGGTGTTGAAACTGGCTTGTGCCTTCATACATCTGCTGCCACGCACGTATCCGCCCCACACCCGGCCAGCGGTGTGTCAGGAAGGCCCTGGCGATGCTATCGCCGACGCAACTGCATCGTGGCACAAGCCTCCTGTGGGTAAGGCAGAAGTTCATGCACGAATTGGACCATATCTGGTCCAACAGCTGAAACATACATGCGACCAGCCCAAGTTCAGCACTTCACGACAGCTTGAACCTCCAAGTATGTTTAAGAAACCTGAATGCTCAAGCTTAAGTCCCACAAGCTCGAAAGATCGAGGAACGGTGTCTTGCAGGTTCGCCCTATCCGATCCGCGGGCACATACCCCTCGAAGCCAAGCCGGCTCGGCAAAGCATACTACAGGAATCGAGCTCCTCAGTTAGATCCTACGAAAAAAGACGAACCGCAAACGCAAACATGGATACAATATGCAATGCGCCGCGGCGCCTTCGCCTGGCTCATGCGTACACGCCGACACCGCTCGTAATCTACCTTGTGGGCGATGCAACAACAACGCTCATCCATCGGCAAGGCTTTCGAATAGTGATCAGCAATCAGCAGCAGCTTTTTTCAATCGCCCACTCATCATGTTCCTAATACTAGTAGGGTTTTTGGGCATTAGACTATAAATATAATAAGGAACCCCCCACAATAGTGTTTGTAATTATTTAGGCCCCTACATTAGTCCGCCAGCCATGCTCAAGCTGATCGGAGCACTAAAGGCACTAACGTCCATGAGCATACCCTCAGTCAGCATGACGAAAAACCTCGAGACACCAACATTTCCCGACATATAGACGGAACATCCCCTCAAACCCCAAACTCCAAAACACCCTTAATATCCCAAGCCCTAAGCTCAAGTACTCTGAACCGTGAACCCTTTCCCTAACAACGAAGCCAGGGCCGCTGCCAGGCGCAACCACGCCTTGGTAGGTCGAAGGATTATCGGGAAAAACGGTTCAAGGGTGTAGGGTGTAGGGTTTAGGGTTCGGGGTTTAGGTTTCAGGGTTTAGGGCTCGGGGTTTAGGGTTGAGGGTTTAGGGTTTGAGGGTGTAGGGTTAATGGGGTTTGGCGTTACGGCAACACTGTTAGAATGCAGTGAAGACTCTGTCTGTCTAAATAGCGTCGTCGCTTAGGATGCAGATAGGATGCAATATCAGCCCTTTCTGTGTGGCACATGCTCTGAGCACGACATTGTTAGGGTGTTGGCTCCGAAAGTCGGAAGGAACAGGTCAAGAGGTCGTTGCGGGAGTGGGCCATGAATAGAGGGTGGGCCATTGGAAGAGATTTTGTAATGAAAAACCTCGCACGGTATGGGCACTTATAAGCGGATGCGAAGGCCTGCCTGCTTCAAGCCCAAAAGCCGAAACCCTAAACCCCAAAAACCCAAAGCCCTGTAACCTATAATAAGCCCTGAAACATGTAGTCTTTAGCTCTCTCTCTATATATATGTGTATATTGCTTTCTGTGTATATATATATATATACGTATATAATCTATAGATATATATATATATAATATGAGAGAGAGAGAGAGATTACGCCCCGGCAGCGCCTGAAATCCCGCGCGCAGGTGTGCCCAGCGATGGCTGCGGCGCCAGGCAACGCCTGGTACAAGAAGAGCTCTTGGAGAGTCCAAAACAACACGGCATTCGGGTTTACCTAAACCCCCAACCAGGTTTTCGATGCTCCTCATTCTGATGTCCTTCTGTAAGACCTGAAAAAATGCAGGTTCTTCGGAGTCCAGATAGGGTTTAGGGTGTAGAGATTTCAAGGTTTGGGGCTTCAGGGTTGTAGGGTTGGGGGTTTAGGGTTGACAGAGCTATAGCCCCCAGACCTGCTTGGGACAGGACTTGGCATTGAGAACATCTAGCTTCTAGATCCTCGTCAGATAAGTTAACTTTCAAGTGCTCTGTTCAATTTAAACAAAAGGAATCAAACAAGGCACCAACAATTATACTTGCAGTTCTTCGTCCTGGTTGTGGTGCCTTGCAGCAGATTGTCGTGATACTGGGGCTCATGATGGACCATGCAGAGCAGCTTGTCAACCAGGATTGAGGAAAATCCCTGTTTGGTAGAGGCACAAACAAGCGAACTACTTTGCCTGAAGCGCTTGGCACGGGCAACGGAAATAGCAAAGATGGTAGATGTATGCACATATACAAAATAGAACATGTTTGCTGCGATACATATGTATGTGTATATATATATATAATATATATATATATATATATGTATACACCTATTTCGCTCCTTCTTGTCCTGTGTACCTCATCAAGGCGACACATACATGGACAGCCTCAGAACTCGTAATGCAGACGAACAAAATTGAGAGGTGAATCTATCTGCATGCGGTTGCATGCAAGCTTATGGAAAATCTGAACTGCAAAACCACAGTCTCGTCTGCTGTCCTAGGCCTCATCTTGTACCAGATGGGGCAAGAACTCAGACTATTACGGATTTTGACCCTGTCTGTATTCTGCTGGGTTCGAGTCACAGCTCCAGACTCTACAACAGGACGCATGCCTAAACCCTAAACGCCCGCACGCATGCATGACATCCAGTTGGAGGTTCTCGGCCGGACCTGCGCGGTGCCCTGCAGATTTGGCGGCATACCGCCAGCATCGAAATACCTCGACGCTATGAACAAGTGTCGTACTAGCCACTGTAGTGCCCTCGTTAGCAGTGCTCTTGTTCTGCTTCTCACTTCACCCTTTTGGTCAGCATCATCATAGGAGCAGAGGGGTCGTGACCTGATCTTCCCTTTGCTGTGAACTTGCGGCAGCATCACGGTTTTCATGTTGCTGTTGGAGCTACTGCTGCTGTTGGCGTCGGTGGCACAGGCCATACAATGTTCCGATTACAGTATGATGACGATCAAGGCGGTCACGATGATGATGACCTCAAAGAGCCTTGTTACGGTGGCTACTTCAGCAGCTAAGCTATCCACATGCCGCACTCGCGGAGCTCAGTGTCGAAGGAGCGTGATATCTCTAGTCGGACCTATCAGAAGCCGCGGAAACGGCGAACAGTCGTCACTACTGTATCTAGGTTTGTGTGGTAACTATCACTGTCAAAATACTCGCAAGTTTTGTGAGTATCAGTATAGTTGAATAATGGACCCAATCGAATTCCCCATTACAACTCTTCTTGTCATACACAGCAATGTAAGGGCCTGAGTAATTAGAATAGGGTTTTGGGGCCCATTATACTCTAATTCGTCTTGTCTTGTCATGGCCTGAATAATTAGAATAGGGTTTTGGGCCACTCTATAATGATAATAAGGAACCCACCAAAATAATATAGGTAATTATTTAATAATGATAATAAGGAGCCGCCCAAAATAAGATGGGTAATTACTTAGGCCCCTACATTAGTCGCACCATCGAGGCCGCTAGAACCGGAGCATCGGGCCTGGTTTGCGAGAGTTCGTCTGGGCTCGACCTGGGGCTTCATAATATAGGAGCCTTTAATAATTAGAATGGGGTTCCTTTAAAGGGTGCCTTAAAAGGGATACTATAAGGGCTACTATGTAATATAGGGGCCTTAATGATTGGAGTAAGGTTTTGGGGTCCTTTATAGTAGAATTAGAATAAGGAGCCCCAAAATAAGATTTTGGTGTCCTTTATAATCGAATTATAATAAGGAACCCCCAAAAATAGTATAGGTACTTACTAAGGCCCCTAGATTACGCCTTGGGCTTTACGACCCCAGGTCATTTGTCGGGGAGGTGAACATTCAGATGCCCGTCTGCGCAACTGCCCTAAGATTACTAATCACATCACATAAGATATCTACGAATATACCATCTTCATCTTCGCCGAATTTGAGATAGAAGCCGGCCGGCAAATGTCACAAGGGGCACCTGGTGAAGCCTCTTCCGTGCCGATCGCAGCAGGAAAGCTTTCACGAAGGCCGCCGTGCGCTCCTGCATCCAGGTTTCACAAACTTTCGGATTTTTCTGGGATCGGCTACAGACCCCATCGCAAGAGACACGAAGGCATCTTCCTGTTTGAACAGTACTACAAGCGGACCTGGGTCACTGGAGAGCTGCTGTAGTGAACATCAAAGACGTTGTGAACTTCGGTGAGACTTGCGCGCCAAATCCTCCCCAAACCCTAAGCCCATTTCCTGAACCCTAAACCCTCCCTAAACCCTAAGCCATAAGCCCTGAATCCTAAACCCTCCCTATAATCTAAACCCTCCCTAAACCCTGAGCCATAAGCCCTGAACCCTAAGCCCTCCCTAAGCCCCCAGCTCTCCCTGCCAAAATTCCTGGCTCGCTCTCTGCTGTGCCATCTCTTGTCGTCGACTCAGCTCCTGACGCAAAGCAGGCTCGAGGTCGTGAGCCATGTGGTCTAGGGTTTAGGGTGTAGGGTTTCGGGTTTAGGGGTTTCGGGTTTAGGGGTTTAGGGGTTTAGGGGTTTAGGGGTTTAGCGGTTTAGGGGTTAGGGTTTAGGGTTTAGGGTATAGGGTTTAGGGGGTTAGGGGTTTAGGGGTTTGGGGTTCAGGGTTGCGGGATTTAGGGGCCTTCACAAATTAGACTTCTGGTCTTGGAGCGTTCTATATTAAGTAGAAGTCGAATATGGACCCCTGAGGCAAAGTATTGGTACTTATTCAGGCTTCTAGATTGTCCCGGGCCGACGGCTTCAAGCTGGCTGGGGATTAGGGTTTAGAGTTTATGGTCTCGCTCTCGTAAGTGCTGGATTGGAAAGAGGGCTTGCCGGTGCGAGTAGGATCACACCTGCATATGCGATGGGCCCTTCTCAAGACTCAGTCTCCGGCCCTATAGCCTCAAGCTCAGGGACGGTGCAGATCGAATTCGTGCTGGCTTTGCTAGAGCCGTTGCTTCAGCACCGCTGTGCAGAATAAGCTGATTTGTGAGGTGGTAAGGTACAGCACTACAATAACACAGAACCAGCTGCACTATTACTGCAGGCCGCAAGCACCTGTCGCTACGGTGCTCCTTATCGGTACCACCACGTATAGTCATAGTCACGATCGTGACAATAGTGATGTTAGAGACAGCACTGTCGCACAACGAACAACATGGCATACTCATCTGAGAATCAAGCTAAGGAAACCTGGAATAACCGCAGGGCCTGCGACACCCGCAGCCAGCGTGTAGATGCCAGCGCAACCACAACCTTCAAGAGATTCAGCAAAAGGCTCCCCACTGCACGGAGCTTAGCAAAAATATAGGGTCCTCAATAAGTATAAACGGGGTTATCGCGATTTAACTCTAACATTATACTAAGTAAGGAATATATGGGAGCATACTATGAACCACTGCTCCGACCCCTGCATAATGCCACGATGCATACGGATTGTCTGTGTTGGGAAAACTGGTGAAGTCAAAGCTCCGTGCTCTTTCCGGCGTCTGATGCGGTAGTGAGCGATGATTCGTTACAGACATTTCGAAGCCTAGGTCCGGTGCCCGAAGCCCTCCGAAACCCTAAACTTCCCTAAACCCTATGAACCCTAAAACCCTAAAACCCTGTAAACCTATAAACCCTAAACCCTAAAACCCTAAAACCCTATAGAGTTTGCTCAACCCCTAGCTTTGTCAGCTTGCTCGCCTCTTTCCTGCCTACATCGAGCTTCTCCTCGCTGACCGCCCGCCTGACACAGGCAGTCAGTCGCTCACAGAGTTGCCTTTAGGGTTTAGGGTTTAGGGTTTTAGGGTTTAGGCTTCCCTTGGTGACGGTATGGTATAGGGTACAGCATACTGAGAGCCTGAACTCAGCATCATTAAAATGATGCCACTTTTTGCAAGTTCATGGCTATCAGCGGCATCCCGAATAAGAGTGTGTGAGGGGGATCCAAATCTCAGGTCTGGCTGGACGGTTCACACTGTGATGTGCTGAGCTGCCTGAGCAAAAAGGAACGGTTTTTATGGCCACGTTATTTTCTACTATGTTAATTGTCATCCTTTCTTAGTTTGGTCCCTGCTAATACAGTGCACATCTGCAGAAGGAGCCAGGGTTGTGCCAACCCACTCGGCATATGTTGGGCTGGCGTATCGACTGCAGCAGATGCTCCACCTTTTTTCAGGGTATTTACTGTGTATACTGTTTGTTTCTGTACTTGCTATGTCATCTGCTGTAACTGATACCCAACTTGTTCAGTCGTCCGCCATGTATCCACGTGATGTGGTTCGAACTGCATGCAGCGGGAACGACAGTTTCCTGGTCATTCTATGTTTGGCCAGGTTGCCGTACTGTTTTAGGCTGTTCTTATCTTGTCTTGAGAGTTACGTTCTCAGCTGCTACTGGGCGCTTAGCGAGCTCGACTACAATAGACTTGTAAAGTAGTCTCGACTCTGCATGTTGCGCTATGCATGTTTTCTCCCCGCCAGCCACATGAGTATTGTTCTACACTTCGGCATTCCTATGTTATCATTCGCTGTCTTTACTTGAGACCAGGTGGCTCGTGTTGATCCTCGCGTGGGTCTGCGGACCGGGGGATACCGTGGTTGGAGCGTGTGCTGGTCCTTCGGGGCGACACGTGGCTCTATGCCTTCCTCTGTATTGGATCACGTAGTGAGCGATTCGGTTCGCCATGCAATACGCATGTCCTACAGCTCGCAACGCTGGGACGCCAAGCAGCGCTTCAAAGCCAAAACAAGTCTAATCTTCCAGGGCAGAAGCGAGATGAGACGTTTGAGTCTGCTCCTGGCCGGTTGTGCACGAGAGGGCAACGACTATGTTTAGGGTTTAGGGTTTAGGGATATCCCATGAATCCTAGAGAGCTCAGGAACCGCCTCCAACGAAGCCAACTTCGTTGCAGCCACTGTTCTCTCCAGCGGCGCTGCAGCCATGCCTCCGGAAAGGGAACCCTAGACACGAGTTTTAGCAAGAAGCAGCAGTTCGCAAGAAGAGAGTAAGTGCTTGTCGAAGCAACAAACCGGGTTCGGGACCACAAGGTCCTGAATGATAAACACATCGCAAAAACGAGTGGAGTCATTGCTACACCCGTGGCTTTTGGATACACAGTACAACTAATGATACTGGTATCATGTTCTGGTTGCTACTCTTGCGATGGTTAGGAAAACAAGGGATCCCAACAGAGGAACCTACATCATAAGATCCTCATTATAAGGGACGCCCCCCTAAGGTACCTATAGGTCTATAGAAGCACTACTACGCGTGGTTTTTGGACAGAAGTCTCACGGCTTCGGCTCGATCGTCATGGCTTTAGGAGGTAGCAGACGGGACTTCACAGTGGGGAAAGGGTTTCGGGGCACTTTTACTACATTAAACTGCTACTTTAGAAATGGACGTAAAGTGAAATGCAACAACTGATTACTGACCCCGGAAGTAGTTCGATTAGTTTCGACCTGCACGGCCCTCACCCTCGAGCCGTTCTTGCTGAAACCAACATGTAAGGGTTTCGGATTGCAGGTGTTGCCTTTTGGTTTTAGGCTTAAGTTTAAGGTTTACCGTTACGGCTTAGGAGCTTCGGGTGATAAGTACAGCCCAAGTATGACCAAATGCAACGACTTGCAGCCGTATAACTGAGGGCAGTCATCGGACCATCTGCCGATTGCCTCTGGGACTATGCAAAGCATCTCGGGACTTCCTGGCGTCCCCACAAAGATCAGAAGCTATGTAAATACATTCGTATATACATATACGCATGCATGTGGATATACATACATACATACATACATACATACATACATACATACATACATACATACATACCTACATCCATACATACATACATACATACATACATACATACATACATACGTCTATATATATATATATAATAAATACCATAAAAACCAAGAGATATAGTATATAAAACATAACCTGTAAATTCATGTAACATGTACGTGTATATATATATATATATACACATATGTATATATATATATATGGTTTTATATCTAAGAGCAGCAATATCGCTGTGTATATCTATATGTATGCATATATATATATATATGCATGTAAAATTAAGCAGATAGATAGATCGATCGATAGATAAATTAATTAGATAGTCTTGTTTGTTGCTTCTTCTCTCGTTCTTTCGCCAGGGCCCCCCCCCCCCCACCGCGCGCGTGTGCGTTTTTGCCTGTTGCGTCTTCTCTCTTCTTCCCCCGGGCATGAGGGAC